TCGGCGCCACTCTTATCGGCAAAGCGGTCATCAAAATGCATATCCAAAAGCTGTTTGTAATCGTGGCCTTCAATGAGAATTATGTCGATCTGTTTGTCCAGAAGAGCCGGTATGTGAAGCGGTTCCCCAATCCCTGTACACTATATACTGTGTCTAATGTTGTGTTTTGCTGTCCAATAGGAGTATACCATACGTCGGCCAATACCTTCACGAGCCGTTGCGCGAGTTTTTGGCCAAACAAAAGGCCAGTCTTCACAGGGGATCGGCTAAACATACCGTCAAAGTATGCCGTGATTTATACGCTATTGTTTTAGTCATACTAATAGTGGTCTCTCTCTCTCTCTCTCTCTCTCCCGCACCCGACTGTCCCGTCTGTTCGCTCAATAGGAGAGCTCATGGCTGTCGACGATCTTTGAATGGGTGGTGATCTCAATGTTGGTGTACTTCGCGGTCTCTATTGTCAACTCAATGGCTCAAAACAACCAAAAACGGCGCCTAAAAGAGGCCCAACACTCGGCGCCCGAGTCCGGGGCCCCACTCCTGGCCGGCAGTAGTGATAGAAATACTGCCAAACATTTAAAGTCTAAATAATTGTGATTTAATTTTACATTTTAATTAAAATGAGTTTTGATTTATTTTTTAATTATTTAAAACCACTGATGGTTTAGTTTATATATCAATATTTATTTTTTACCTGTATTTATTTATTACCATGATTATAATTGATAAATACATTATATCTATTTTATAATTTAATTAAATAATTAAAATTGTAATAATATTTGATATGAAAATTAAATGTTTGTTATAAAGTTTTATAAACGGATTTAAAAATTATTATTACAAAACTTGTATGTATTTTGATTATAAGTGCAATCATTGGGTTGTTTTTTGCATTAAATTTTAAATTTGTTTTTTAATTATTATTAATTTATTATTATAGATATTATTATTAATTTTGTTCACAATCACAAAAATAGTTATTTTCTATATATTTTTGTACACATCGTATGAGAAATGATTAACAACAGCTATTATTTTGTTATGTAACTTGTAATTAAATAAAATTATTTAGCAAATATTAATAAATAATATGTGACCATGGATATTTGCTAAAAATAATAATTAAATTAACGCTAATTAGCTAGGTAAATAGAGATGTTCCTAGCGTATCGGTCAGCAAACCGCCTAAAAGACTATCGACCAGTCGTACAGAACGACTGATTAACGTGTGATTGAGTTGACCGACAAAAATAGTGCTTTAGAGGTCGCCGCCATGCAGTTGGCAGTGACCGCCCGCTGCCGTACATCTGTACGCAGGTATGGCCGCCTAACTTCTTGTCAATTAACCATGATCAATTCAAGTGTAAAAGTAGTTTTTACATAAAATAACCACGTACAAATCGTTAAATATAATTTAGTTTATAAGTTTAAAATATTTGTGAATAATTAATTATTTATTTTGTATTTTTATAATGTATTAAGTGATCATACAACATTTTTAAAAATGATATATTTAATTTAATAGATTCAATAAAATAACAACAAAAATAAAGTTCTAAAATTAATATAAATTTATAGCAAAATGATCACAATTTAAATTCTAATTACTATATATAATGTTGCAGTAAAATAATAAATATGCAGTAACTATTATATTAATAATTTTATATTTAAAATTTAAATTATAATAAAGAATTATAAGCAATTAACTTTATAAATGACATTTCATCATGAACATTTTTAATTTGTTATGTTTTCATTACAGTAAGTCATATATTTATTTAATTGTTTTACTAACTTTAATGATGGTGATAATAGACAAAATTTCATGATATAATTTATTTTGACACATTCCACTTTTATTCACTTTAAGACCATGGCCATATCTTACCTGGGTAATTATCTATAAGATGGGTATAGTGTGTCCACTGGTATAGCATGTTTAACATAGAGGAGTCAGTCAATTACTTGTAATTTTATCTTAATAGTAAATTATAATTATATTTGGTGTTTATATCAGAATAAGCTAATATATTTGATAAATGTATATAAAATAATTGTGTTATGGTTAAGAGCTAATGTGTCTATTTATTTCCTAATCATAGCAAATAAATTAAGTACATTAAATAATTCAATTTTAAATATGCTTTCCAATGATGTGATAACTTAGAAGTAACAAGTCTACAAGGCATTCATATAATATGTTATAATGTTTTTACCTAGATTATTTATTATGCGTACGACTTTTTACAATCAATAATATCAAATAAACATTTTTATTATCATGGTAAAATAGCATTATTTATTGCAAATGCATCAATAATTTTGATAGCAAGAGAAAGAGAAATAATACAGTATTTAAATTAAAATCTCAATTACGCTAAAGAGTTGTATGTGTTTTCAAACATCAATACAAACTTTAAGCTATTTATAGCGATATTTATAATAGATTTATATTTATAAAAGTGATTCAATTGCCAAAAATCTGTGCACAATATTTGACACAAACAACACTCTCACCCATTCATCCCATCCCAGAGCTCACTGTCAAACCTCATATCCATAACACATCCGTACAAACACTTTCACATTTAGCATCATTTAAATAAAGCTCAAACATTTTGCAAAGACAGTTGTATTGGCACATAAAGTTGACAGTTATACATGATAGTGGATCGTGATTAAACGCCCAGTTTCACTCATGATCATTTTGCACCAAAAATAACACTACCTGATAATCTATTTATTGATCCTAAATTCACTTCCCGTGTAAATGTGTATATATTATAAATAATTATATAAATAATATTGTTAAGGTTGAATACAATATACAATGTTTATATATAGTGAACATAAATAGTATGTAATGTGTGTTGAATAGTGTATAATAATGTCAAGAATTTAATGATGATGATTTTTGTGTGCAATATCAGTATTTATAATCAGTTGTATTTGATTCATACACCAAAACCTGACTTTACATTAATGTAAAAACAGTGAAACTACGGTGTGTTCAACCATTAACGAAGTTTTTGATTTTTATATTATTTAAAAACTACAAAAGCTATTTTAATCAAATAAATTGCAAATTAAAGATAAATGTATGGCATTTAATTAAAAATATTTT